TCAGCCCACAAATTGGTGGATCCATAGGGGGGGGGGGGTAGCTAATTTCCTTATCGACTATTTGTCCGCTTCCGTATGCTTCCGTACTCCTGGGTAGAGGATGCTATCAATCTGCTCGAAGGAAGAAGTTGAGGTGTGCGGCGTTTCAGCTAATGCGGATGAGGCTTTGCCCGGCCAGTAATTATTTGATCCTTGCAACCTTGTGCCACCTTGTAGCCCCAATAGCTCGATTCATGTAGTCGTCGGGCTACATGGGCTACGAGGGCTGTATGGTTTTCCCCTCTCCTCTCCGTTTGTCAATGCAAGGATCGTGTGCTTTGCCACGCTGTGCGTGCTTTGGATGCCAGGAGCTTGGCTCGCAGCATCTCAGGGCTGCGTCAACCGCAGACTTGCAAACTTCCAAAGGATCACGTCCTGGAGAACTTCGGAACGAAGGCAGAGATGGAGGCTTGCCAGACTGAAGCTTGCGACCGCAAGTAGAGAGATTGTCGCTGCAAAAGCTTTGTGACATACAAAAACTTGCAGGACAGCGTGCCAGGTGTTATGGCTTTGTCTGCGTGCTATGCGCTCAGTATCTCCCAGTCACCGCTCGGGTGTGCGGGCACCTGTCAGCGGTACATCCTGGCGTAATGCATGGGCAATGCGACAACCTTCAAACCGACATGGACACTGGCAGAGTGCCTACACACACTGCACCCAAACAGAAGCTGAGCCATTGCTGGCTTGACCCTGTTGGCCGCATAACTTCTGGTAGGGGACATGCAGATTGCTGGACATGTTCAAGCTGTTCAGAGATATGCTAGAGGGCCTGTCGCATTGTGTTTTGCCCGGCCTCTGTGAGTGGGACACGCTGACCAGCAGATGCATCTTGACAATTTCAATTGCACTTAGTGTGCAGCATTCGTGATAGCAGACAACGACGTGCAGTGTTGAGGTTTCGTGCCTGTCTTGAAGGAGAAGCGCCGCCCGGGTTCCGCACTTGGTTGCGCTTGGCGATCTCTTTCTGGAGGCAGCACCGTTAGCCCTGCACTTTGAAGGCCTGGACTTTCTCTGAGTCATGGGCAGCGTCTCTTAAAAATGTTGTGTGGCTGAAGTACAGCTTTCCAGAAAAAGCCAAAGCATAGCTTTTTCTGACCTTAGAGACACGCGAGACAGGTCGCAAAACTGTCTCAAACAAAGATGGGCGCAACTTAGGGGTAGTCCCCTCTGAAACATGAAGCCTCTTGAAATCTCGACAGACGTTCATAGCTGCGCTGCTCGAAGAGTCGGCGCTCTGCTGGACCGGAGGGCTGCGTGAGCCTGAGACCACTTTGGATTTCCCTTGATTGTTCATGCCTAGGGCCCAGCGGTTGTGGTCTTTTGAGAGGCTGCCATGGGCAAGCTGCTGCAAAAGGCAACTGGTTATGGGATTTTTCCGACTTCCTTGTCTTTACCAGCAGTGTGACGCAGCATGTGCTGCTGGAGTGCGATTGTGCGATCCGCCGTAGGTCCAATCTCCACCAGCTCCTCCTTTTCGTGTACCTACTCCCTGCCGGTCTCTGTTTGGCCTGCTTCGAAGCAGCAGAGATGCATCAGGCTTTCCACCGCTTCTTGCCTGTGCTCCGTGCACACAGCGCTGAAGCCAGTGAGGTGTGGACTCCAAACCAACTTCCTCACCGAAGGTGAGACAGTCGCCCGTGGTTGCCAAGGCTGTGCTTCCAGTGGGTTTGCTACGATACTTGGTCAACTGCAAGCGCTCCCTGCAACACTAGTAGAGCTTGTAGTTGGGATCCTCAGGGTGGCATGTGATTGCGTGATGCATAATTTGAAGATGATCGGCACGGCATGCTAGTTTGAGCCCCTGGCGACTATGGACCCGGTGCCATGACTCCTTCGTCCCTGCGTCTTAATTGACCCTCCAGTACACGAAACTCAGGAAAGCTGGCGTGGCCAGCCTTGAGTTATCTCTTTTTTAGCAGCAGGGGCAGACCAGGTATGGAAAGCACCACGGTTAGGGGGCAGGTTGAAATTGGTTCTTTCACAGGAACCGCAGCCTTGAAGGGGGGGCAGCCTTGGTGTATCGATGCTTGCTACGATATATCCATTTCGGGCCTGGCGGCATGGACCTTTTGCGGGTATTTAAGGCTCTTACAGCTCCCCAGAAGCTAGCATCATGAGCATCAGGGAGCCTGTCTGGGCCTCCATTTCCGTTTCGATAAAGTACATATGAGGATCCAGCACCCAAAAAACTTAAGTGTGTTTGTTAAAGAAAGGGAATTAAGCCCAATTGTGCTGCTGCTGCTGTCCGGTAGCACTGTAGCGTCAGGGGAAGCTTCAAAAATGCATGCAAAAACTCTTAGTCTTTGACCCCGAAGTTCGCGCATCCAGCGGTGCCAGCGGTGAAGCTGTCACCCCTATATATAAAGCATAGCTTTTAGCCCGGCGTGCATCCGCACTGGACCATGACCCATGCCGGATTCAGAGGCTGACGCCAGGGCGGGCAAGGCCAGAGGCAAATTACCTGCACGTTTAGCTTCCACCAGAATGCCTGGCCAAGAGCGCAGGGGCAGACTAGAAGCCCCAGAAAGCAAAATGGACCCCCAATCATGCTGGTAGCATCATCAGCATCATTGGGGGTCCGTTTCTCGATTTTGGGTCCCCCCTAGTATCCATTGAAATCATTTGAAGTCTGCAACTGTCTCAGCTTTGGCCCAAGACGGGCCTTGGGGCGATTTTTCAAAAGGTCTGTGCTTATGATGCTTGTTTACTGGTCTTGAAGGACCTTCAAAGTCTTTCAAAGATCCCTCCGTGGCATGGGGGGAAGCCATGAAGCTCTAAAGCTGCTTTTGGGGGTGGGGTGCCCGGGGGCCCCTTTGCAGAAACGGAGGATGTGCGGCGGAGCTGTAACCACTGCGTGTAGCAAAGCTACGGCTACATCGCTGGAGCAAGCACAAATGGGTGTTGCGCGACCAAAAGAGCCTCCAAGACAGGAAACAGTTTCACCCCAGCCTGGTCGATGTTGAGCCGATACTGCTGTAGCAGCTTCACGGTCAAGTTAACGAAGCTGTGTGATATTTGAAATTTCGTCGCGCCGCTCGCACTGTCAGGGTACTGGGCACGAGACTTAGCCGGCGCAAGCGAGAGAAGTTCAAGCCTGCAACTTTGCATCAAGGCGGCCGTGTCTGGCAGACGGCTGCCCCAGATGCTTCCAACAAAACGCATGCCCCCTACCCCAAGAAGAGGGTTTTCACACATGCCCCCAAAGGTTGGTAGGCATATACAGACATTCATCTATGTCCTTCCCTCGCAACGCATGTTTACATGCAGAACACAGGCACAGAATTTCGAGCTAGAACCATGGCTGGGAGGGGGGGCTTTTTGCAAGAGTTATGTTCGTGCATATATGTAGATATACAATTCAAATACTCTTATACAAATCTGCTCTTCAGGGTTCTGAAAAGTCGAAGTACCAACATGTCTTGGAATGAAAGCCAGATCTCCCTTAAGCCTGTGTTTTCAATGCAAGCACCTGCACGAATCTTCAGAGAGGCCCATGCAATCAAAGGCCCGTTGCTACGGAATAAGAGTACGTGTAACAGTGTAAGCGTGATCCGAGAGCGTCTATCCCTAAACCCCAATTACGGGGTGTCTGTTTTATGCCCTGGAAGCAGCCGCGAATGGAACCTTCCAATCACCGACTCCAAAACCCTTGTGCTGGACGCTCCTTGTACGCTTTCAGGCTCTGTCAATTCGTTGCTTGGACCGACATCAGACCAAGGGCTCTTATGGTGAGTGAGAACCAAACCTTGAACTGAAACCTAGAGTTCTGCACTTACACCGACTCTTTTTGAATCCTGTTGGTTTCTGGCCTGGGTCTTGTTCATAAGGAATGAAGCACCATCTAACCCTTTACCCAAGCCCAGAGCCTGAACCATGTGAGTGTTCGGGGAAATCCAGGCTTTCCCCTGAAGCCTCAAAGAGCTCTGGACACAAAGCTTGGTACAAGTAACCCAGTGCTGGGTGGTTACCTGAAACCGAATCGTTCTATACCCTGGCATGGTCATGGTATGACATGAATATCATCATCCTTGGATACGGTTCGAACCGCTCACTTCTTTCCGTAGTGTTCACTACCCCGACATGGTCATGGTGCGGACAACATGCTGGTGGCTGCATCAAATCTCTCTATATCTCTCTATTGTTTCTGCCGTGTTCTACCTTTGCGTGGTCACGGTCATCAAACCTCCCCATTTTTTCTGTGCGGTTCACTACCCTTGCGTGGTCGTGGTGCGAATATCATCATGTTTAGAGGAGGGATCAATCATCCCTCCTCCTTTAGATTGCTGCTCAAGTGGTTTCATCACCTGTGCTACATCTGCGGAAGTGTGTTTTCTTGCTGCTTGGCAGGTGACTAGACGTGGAAGACCGTCTCGTGCCCAGCATGCCATCTGAGCAAAGTCTGCATAGTCTGCGAAATGTCTCTGTTCTTCCTGGCTTCAGCAGTCTAGATAACAATTTCAGGCGTAGCAGTATCAACATATTCTGTTTTGGCCAAAACTTGTGCAGCAGTCTGCCATCGAGCTCCGAGTCGACCATTCCAAAATCAACTTCATGTTACCGTCAGATAGCAGATTCGATGGGCGCTGCAGAAGGCCTACGCAGGTCCATTCTGCATTGTTCTCCTTGTCGGCAAGTGCAAGACGGGTTACTTACTTTCCAGGTTGCGCATGAGCCTAAGAGGCGTGGCAGAGGCCAGAGAGCTGGAAGCATTGGCAGAGGACGCTGTCTTTTGTTGCGAGCTCTCCGAAAGTTGCCATTGTGAAGAAGCGGCTAGTTGACTTCATCGATCTTCATCGCATTTGTCCTGCATGAGCATCAATCGCACCGAGGGACCGAGAGGGCTAGATGCCATTTCGCAGATCTCATGCCAGGAGTGCGAGGAAGGTGATGCCAAGACTCAACAGGTGCGATGCTACAAAGAAATTCAGGGTCTTAAGCCGTTTCGTGCCGTTCTGCGTGGCTCACGGCTAGAAGCTAAGGTCAGCAGCCTGTCGGGTGAGTACCTCAACATCCTGCTGCTTCTTGTGCTCTACACACTTCAGGTTGGAAAGCTCTTTTGCACTAAGCAGTGCTCAAGTGTATGATAGTGCCTCTAAGCATCGCGAGGGAATCCCGATGGGCCTCTCTTCGGTTGTCCCCTTGATCCTGAAGGACATCATGCATCGTTTAGTTGCTGAGGCTACCAATGAATCTACAGCGTGCGAAGACGTGATTGACTGCAGGAGCAGAACGTATCATATGCAGACCTGGGAACCTTCTCGCTGAATTCCTATCCTTTCAGTGCCACGGCCTGCATCAAAAGCAAGCAGAGCACTGTCAAGTCTCCTTGATGCTTTCTCCTTTTGAAGGCTTGAAATTGCTGTGGGCCCCTTTTGTGGATGCTGCCTACGTCTCCAGACTGGGGCGGAGGCGGCAAGCCATAGCTTCACTCTCTGCCATGTTCCCAACCTCAAGTGTCGAAAATCCAGGAAGACGTGGCTCCTGCCAACACAGCTGGCCATTGGAGTAGCAGGGCGCCTACCGTGGACAACCACCAGACCTCAAATGCCCATCATGGTCTTGGCGGCTAGACTCTGTTGTGGCTGGCTGGAGTTAATGATGAGGTCATGATTGTGGTCTCACAAAGGCTGGATCATCTCCTTTACGCTCCTGGGCCTTTAGTCTAGGTCCGGAACAGCATGCTTGTTGCAACATGATGCTCAGAAAAGTCAGCACGACAGGCTTCGCAGCCGAATGTCGCCTCGCTCACGCTCCTTTTCTTCTTGCTGTACTTCCTCTGTGCCACCCAGGAAGCTCTGAAGTGTCTGTGCGCACGCTGATGTTGTTCTGGAAACCCCAGGAAACAAGAAGCTACCCCTCCCCTGGGGCATCAATTCTTGTGCGATGCTGACAGTCTTTACCAGTGCGAGCAGCGACGTGTCTTATGAGGGTGAGACGATGAAGTAGGCCCTCGGCGTGCTCTAAAGGACATAGCAGTGGACGGATGGGCCCTGACGATGCTGCGAAAAGAAAACGTGGGGTATGCTGCCACGACCAATGCTATGGGGCAGACCCTCGGCTATGCCACGTGGACGTGCAGAGGAGTCCAGCCCACACAAGCTACGGTGGCGGTTGACAGATCTTAAGGTTTGACTTTGTTCAGCATACCTCCAAGGCCATAGGCTTCACCGGGTTCATGGCGCTGGAGCACTTCAACCTGCTAACGCTGTCCGAGTTCATGTTTCTCTGGGGCATTGTTTTCATGGTGACCTGACTGCAAGTTCTTTAAGCAGTCAATGCCCGCACCATTCAAGGCCCGAGCTGACACACTGAGGTGGTTACCATCCTTGTGGGTGTACTCAAAGCTGAAGGCCCAGTACCATCAGATGAACAGCCGGAAGCATGACTCCTAACATCGCAGTGGAATCCTCCTCTGTGCAGCCTGTGCACTGCTGTTTGTCATATTGGTCATTCTTCCCAGGAACCTGGTTTCATGTCGTTGGCACTTTTTGAACCTGGCGTGTGGCTTGTGGCGCGTGGACAGTTTGTTTCATGCTGTGGGCCAAGGAGAGCATCTCCACATCATATGGAAACATGCTCAACATCCTACGCCTACGACCAATACGTCTCCTGCTTCTTCTTTTGGTGACCATTAAGTTTCCGTTTGCAGTGGCAGACAGTATCGCGCCGTTGAAGCTGCAAGAGTATGGTGTCAAGAAAGAGCACATGGCCTACATTGCGTCGGGTATGATGCCGGTGCCCTGATGCAAGTGGCAGCACGCATCCAAAGCTGCTCAAATTTGGGGTTGTGCATCTGATTTTGTGAAATCACATCGGTTGGTGAAGGTGTACATTCTGCTGCCAGCGGTGGTGTCACGCTGGACAACGAACTCCACGCCATGGGAGTTAGGTCTGCAAACTTACCCCTGGCGAGTCCTTCTGGTCTAGCACTCAGAGTTTCAATCCTTAGCGTGCATGTGTGTGAAGTGCAAGAAGACGTGTTGAACATAAGCTCCCAACGAGCCTCGCAGAGAAGTGTCGTGTAGGAAATGCGAAGAACGACATGTAATAGCTGCAAAAGTCCGGGTCAGTGAGAGCCAAGTTCGCACACAGGTCTAAGGGTCTAAGGAGAGGACTTGCTGGCATTACTCTAAGCGGATGGTCTTTGCACTTGACAAGAGAACAATTCATGTGAGCCCTTGAGTTGCTTGAGCGTGTGCCGGTTTTGACGGGCTTCAGTATCTGCAGCAAGTCCTGCAGTGCCTGATTTGTGCAATGTGCCTGTGCTTGGAAATAGACCCAACTTTCTTGCTCGCAGCCTGTTCTCTCGGTATAGCTAATAGGTTCCGGTGACAGCCGTGGTGGTGGCTTCGACACCTGCCATTGGAGATCGCATCCCATGGGCTTTCTACTCCGTGATCGTCGTCGTCTCCTTATTGGCGCAAGCCATGACCCCAGATTATGTTGCATGCGCATGACTCTGTAGATGTTCTGAGAAGTCTATGAGGTTGCAAGTCAGTGCATGTTCGTGTCCAACATGGCCTTCTTTGCGCGCATCAGTGATCCTGCAATGGGCGGGACCTACATGACAATGCTCAATACATTGAGCAACCTGGGAGGCCTGGGTCGGAGCGGGTAGATTCTTGGACTCCTTTCCAAGGTGATTTTGCTTTTATCTTTCGTGTTCGTTTCCTGAGAGTTTATTGTGCTTTCGGTCTGTCCCATTGCTTTCTGCTTCTGGGTTTCTGGTGTCTACCTGCTAGCTGGCGATTGTTGGACAGACCCTACCAAGCTGGAAATCTTAGCAATTGAAGCAAATTCGCCTTACTGCTTGAATATGACGGCAGGCTGGTTGAAAAAACCTGGACTTATGTTGATTTGTTGGCCGAGTGCCTGACTGGGGAGTTGCCTCACGCTCCCCTTGCTACCCTTTCCTGTTACTGGCAAATGGAGCCAAGCCAACCCCCGAAATAAACCAGCCAAGTCGCCGAGCCCTAAGGCCTGAAATCGGGAAGAACCAGAAACATGAAGAAACTAACCGCCATGCAACCAGCGCATGAGGTCGAAACCGATAATTTTTTGTTTGCTCACAAGCTGTAGCCTGCGAAATGCAAGGCATCTGTGTGGAACATGCTGCCAACATGGCCTTGCCATTTTGGCTCAAGATCTGGGACCGTTGGTCCGTGGTGATTTGAAAGAGCTTTCAGCTTCCCACCACTATTACTCTGTGGAGTCATGGCTTCCTCCTCCTCCGTGCCTCTGCCGTTGCTGTACCGGCCGCTGTTGCGGACTCCACAGGCGCCTTTGTCCCTGAGGGGTCCCCGGCGGATGTGGAGATGTCGGCAGCGACTGGGAGTGGATTGCGATTAAACAGATGGCAGCCTCGGTGCATGACGCGGCCGTAGTGCGGAACCGACCACCACAGCCTTTCTCGCGGATGCTGACATTGTGGAGGTTGATGACAAGCCCCTGGCAGAGAAACTTCAGGAGATGACGCAGGCCTTGGCCAAGCCATGCTCACCAAGGGCAAGGAGAAAAAGGAGTTGTCCTTCTCGGACACCCCTGACTTTGAGGTGGAGGGCAGGCCCCGTAAGCCTGCTGGAATGTTGCCGGGTGCGCGCTACCGTGATCATTTTTCATTGTTTTTACTTGCTGCTTCACTTTCATTTCATCCGTACTTGGCTTGTTGAGCAACATACATCAAGGTAGCAACAGCCTTCCGCTCCTTTCTCATGAGTGCCTGGTGGTACAAGGCCCGCCAAAGTTAGAGCATGCTCAAGCCGCATTCAATTGCTGTTGTCGTTGTTGGTGTTGCTGTTGCTGTTTTTGCTTTTGTTGCTGATGCTGTTGTTGCTGCTGTTGCTGCTGTTGCTGTTGTTGCTGTTGCTGCTGCTGTTGTGGTTGTGGCCGTGGCTATGGTTGTGCTTGTGCTTGTGCTTGTGGTTGTGGTTTTTGTTGTTGCTGTTGCTGTTGTGTTGCTGTTGCTGCTGTTAAGCATCTAGGCTCAGATGACGAGACAAGCCTTATCAAACAGCGTTTCTTTTTGACACAGACAAGCAGACAGGCAACTGAGCTGTTCCGGTCCCAAGTCCGGAGGACAATCTCAATAGTTTTATTTTTTGGTCAGAAGTGAGGGTTCCAAGTTTGCGCAGCTGGGGGAATATGACAGCTTTTAAGGAGATGCCGGGTGAAACAGTCTGTCCGACACGCAATGCGTCTAGATTCTTCCAAAGAAGTTCATGACATCATGAAGCAGCTCGAGCGCAACTCAGTCTTTAGTCTGATCGACTGCACCATGAAATGAGGTGATGCGCAGAGATCTCCACTTACAAAGCAAGTTTCGCAGCTCTGTCGACAGTAGAACACAGCCCGACGCCACAGCTCAGGCGCGAGCGTCAGGGCTGCGGCGTCATTTCTCAAAAAAAGGGGCGCGCTGCCCTCAGGGGCGATGCGCCTGTGGGTGCAGCGCTTAGGCGCGACCTGATGTCAGATCGATCCGCAACTTATTATGAGCAGAAGGCGCTTAGGAGCTTCGATCTCCATTATGGGCAAGATCCTAAAAGGCGTCCTTATAGTGAGTCTTCAGACACTGCTCCAGTAAGTTCGCCAGTGCGTAAAGATGCTGCCATAGGTAATTTGATGACTCGGGAAGCGGCGCAGAGGGAGTACGAAGAGCGCCAAGAGAACGCGTTGCGGCTAGTAGTGTCAAACACTATGAAGTTGTTTTTCCACGCTCCTACAGGAGCGTTAGATTTCGCTCACCTCTCGCCCAGTACTACTGGGAGTGATATTGCCCGAGAAAAGGGGTGTCTGCTTCGCTATGAAGTTGGGGATTTATACATGAAGTATAGTTCAACTGTTCTTAGTGTGCTATCTATCACCCATTGTCGCTCAGGCGCCGCCTTAGTTTTTGACACATGTGATGATGGGGCACTGTTTGAGCAGTTGCCAGATCCCTGTGATCATGATAGTGGGGTCTTTCCGTCTTGATTTCATCCTCATTCCCAGCACAAGAGTCGTGAAGACTCCATTGATGAATCCGAACCCGATAAGCAGGAGTCACTTGTCCCGGGTAGCTTAAGGAGTGATCGGGAAGATCATGCGCAAAGTTCTAGCGTGGAAGTCTCCGAAGAACACCCCAGAAGGGGAAAAACTGGGGTCCACTGAAATTCCAAGGATTAATCTGCCCCCCAGTCCATCTTGGGGTTCATGTGATTCCTCGGGTCGGAGATACCATGGTTTTGGTAGTCCTAACACCAAGTACAGACATGTCAGTCGGAGTGAGATTCCTGCAACCCAGTACTAACGAGGCTGTTTCTCTGTCCCAAGATGAACAGTTGGACACCCAGGCTGGAGATGGAGGAGAGCCGTTGTTTCTCCAGGACCCTCCATAGCAGATCTTTTGCATCCAAAGAATCTCACATCTCCTTCCCATTCTCAATGAGGGAACCAGGCCACCTAAAGTTGATCAGGCAGCTAGTTCTAGTGCCGATGTAGTAGTAACGAGCCAGCCTCGTCCGTCACTCTGCAGTGGCCTGAGCCTCGTCCTTTTCATGAAGTCTTTTAGTCAACAGCCACCGCCTGGCACAAATAGTCCAGTGTGGTTGGAAGGAGTCACCGCAAGTGTACTAGTGCCAGAGTCGTTAGGTAATGCGCTCAGAGCGCCAGGACTTCTGCCTATGAGGGCATCCCACTTCGACGTCAACAGCGCATCTGTAGCCAAGTCATCTGAGCTCAACTTTCTATCAAAAAGTCTGTGAGCATGAGGCGCAGCTGGATGATGAGTATCTTACGTGTGTGCTGGCTACAGAACCTCTTGAGTCTAGGGGTTTAAAAGGAGGCGCTCAGGTGTGGGTTAAGCTCCCAACAGGTGAGCTGTTGGCAATTGAACTTGAAGGATATGAAAAGCTAAGTGATGTTCTGTAAAGGGCATCTGAGATGCCCCAACCGGGGGAGTACCTTCGCGATGTTTACGTTATATTTGAGACTAAGGTTCTCAATCCGGATGTCCCTCTGAAAGATCAAGGAGTAGGAGAGGGAAGCGTCCTGAGGATCAATGTTCGCCTTAGAGGAGGTGCCCCTAGTAAAAACTGCGGGCAGCCCGGGTAGTTTGTGCGTTATCTGTGGCTCAGATGAGCACAGTTTTGAGGAGTGCACTAGCTATGGAGGCGGGCAATATATGCCATCAAAGGACCCTAGAGTCCTAGCTTCCGCAGAACGGGAAGCGCAAAAGGCCAAACAGGCAAAAAGACTTGCCACCTCAAATAGTACGAGGAGGCATCGTCAACCCATAGAGCCTGATTATCCTCCACCACCGTGGGATTGGGGAAGCAATCCTAGGCTGGCAGCTAGACCTCCTACTGAACCCCCTCTTTGGTATTCTCAGTAAGCTGAGAATAACCCAGAAGAAGACTGGGTCGATGTGGGTGGAAGCTCCCGATCCACGAGTTCTAGTCAAAGAGGAGGTTGAAACGACTTCTTCAGCCAAAGCAGTAGTTGTGGCGCCTCGGAAAACGACAAAGAGAATTGCCAAATCAGGGACTACAAAGAAAGTTCTAAACGGATCCGTCAAACGCAGTGTGGGTTCTAAGGATCTTAGTTTCTTGAAGCGGATAACTCCTCCACCACCTGCACCTCCGAAAAGAACCCGTAAGTGCCGACCCAACAAGTTGAGCCATCGTCAAGTTCTGTTCCTGATACGTCAAGGTCATTTCTGAGACCTACGCCTAAAGTTAAGGCAGTAGACTCTAAGCAGCGTGAGGCCACGGAGCCCAGGCTCAACAACAAAAAGGCCAAGGCTAGCGCCAAGCCAGCAAAGAGTGTTTATCCCACAGTTGTGATGACTGAAGTGGATTTTGATCCGATTGAGGATTTCTCTGAGCAGCCTGTTACTGGCGTTGCTGAGCTAAATTTTTCGGCCACCGCCCAAGATTCGGAGTCTGAAAGTATTCAGGAGTGCAGTCCTGACCAATCACGTCCACAAGCTGCGTTAGATAAAATTGAGGAGCTTAAGTCCAACTTGAAACCGCAGTTGGAGCGCATCCTCAAGAAGACGGACGCAGTTAACCCCCAGGAAGGAGGTTTGGGCTCCAAAGGTAAAGTCATATCAACCGATCAGGGCGATACTTCGCCTGAACCCCGGGTCATTGCGCTTCGGACATAGACGCAAACATGTCAACAGTTAGTCCTTCTAACTGATCAAATGAAGTCTGAAAGACCTCCCGGCGATCTTATTGTCATTCATGGTATTAGATGCATTTTGGAGTTCAAAATTCTCCTGCGTCGACAGGGATACTGTATCTGAGTCTTCCAAGACGGCGTGGAGTTATGCAATAGTGTCAAGTTTAAAGACTTGGGTCAACAGGTCACCCTACGGATTCAGGAGGAGTCTCCTCCTGAAGATGCAATACCGTCCTTAGTGCGGTGCCAGGTCAACCAGCCCTTGGTCGTGGCGATGCTTGCGAGTGATCCCGAACTACTGTGCAGTCGTATGTTCGAAGGAGCTCATGTGATATCCTTCATCAGCACGGACGATCAGTTTGGCTGCCTAGTAATAAGCCTCGAAGGAGAGGTACAAGCCACAAAGAGTACCGCCGGCCGAACCATAGACTCAATCAGGGACAGGCTGGGGTTGCAGTCTCAAGTTGTGGTCGTAGGAAACATTTCAACAATATTGCTCCATGGGCTACATCCCACACGGAACTCCACTTGTCACGTGGAGCGATGCCTTGCCGGTAAGGCAAGTGTGTCAACGTAGTAATAATTTAAGCCCCATAAATGGTATCTCTTAGTCCTGGAGGGACGAGAGGTATGCGTAGTAATAAATAGGGTGCGTTCTGCGCAGGGCGCAGAATGGGGGGAGTGCTGCTGTGTGAACATGACGGTGAACACGCGCTGCCCGCCGCCATTTGGGTTTAGGATTTCGTGCCTGGTCATTAGGCTACACAGGTGTGTAGGGTTTCGGATCGAGTGGGGCCACTAGCGGACCCACGAATAGCTGAAGCCCCAGAGTCGCCCATGGTTCATGGGAAAGAGAAGCACGTCTGCCAACAATGTGGGCACCAAGTGTGGCCCAGTTATGATGCCGTCGCCAATAGGGTGGCTACAATACCTGGTTACATGGATTTTTGTTGTTGCTTGCAAGGCCTGGACACCTCAAGCCAGGAACTGCCAATACAACATGCTGAGATAACGCCAGTCTGGGATCACGTGTTTCATGATGCTGAAAATGGAGGTGTGCTCGTTGAACTGCTTCCAAACACAAAAAACTTTGAGCATGATGGCCTTAGAAAGAATACATGCCAAGGTGATTCTAGCACCCAAGGCTTGAGTTGGGCGAGTGTGGATGCAGACGAGGTGTCGCGCAAACTGCAGGACCTTGTGGCCTTTGACATGGACTGGCGGGATTTGCCTGATAGAAGTACTTGTCAGGATGTGAGTCAGGGCAGCAGAGGCCGGGTACTATACATGCAGCTTCATGACGAGGTTGAGCCAGGAGGACACAAGCATGTGCTTTGCGAGCGCCTTCTTAGGAATACGCTGCGCGTGGACTCACGCCGAGAGCCGGGCCGCATGGGAAAACGAGGCAAGCAACTCTTTACAGAGATACATGATGATGTTGGGTGTTCAAAGGACTGGTATGGCATATGGCAATCACTTGACCAAGGTCAGCCAAGTAGTTTCCATTGGAAGGGCCTGCTGGACGGGCAGAATCGTCGTAACAGTGCCGAACACTTGCCACGGCGTTTGTCACACACAGCGACTCGCCTCAGCTGTCATGGTTGTCCAACTACAAGACCCTGCCTCGACGCGTTTAGCTTGGACAGAGCAGGTGGGCAAAGTCTTCAAATGAAGAACCCCCTTCGCTTCCTACACTGGCAGTGTTTGCATCCCTTCATGCAGCTGGTGGGTCTTCACTTGTGCTGTGTCTGCGCCGACTTTGCACTGGAGTTTGTTGACATCGATTGCACAGTGGCCCAGTTCCACTGTGCTGCACGCACCACGGGCGCAGTTTGGGACCCAGGTGGGCGAGGGACGATGCTAAAAGTCGTCATGGAGGACTTGCTGCTTCCATGAGTCGCGGGCATTCGTGGTCCTTCATGGTGCGTATTTATGCTTTGTTTTGAATGTTCTTGGCTATGACTCCTGTCGACCTTGTAAAAGGCCTACCGGCAAATTCTGCTGACAGGATGCGGCCAAATTGTGTTGAATGCCTGCAGGGATTGCCCAATGGTGCGGTTGTGCATGTGTTAATTAGGCTGCGACCGTCTGACAGCATGCAAGGAGAAAGAGACATAGGTGTGTACAGAAGTAGTCAGTGTACAGTTTTTGAGAAAAAGACTGTAGATGCTTCAACGTGTTCTTGTTTGTGCGTTTGGTGTGAAAAAGGTCCCTAGTGTAGAACCGCTCCTTTGCTGCCATATCACCGCCCAGCAGTTTCGTTTGCTGGTTCCAGATTCTTGTTGGCCGGATGCCGAGGTGCATTCCATTTGCGGAGGAACTCGACAGACTGTAACCTGCCAATTTTTACACCTCTTGCATCCTACTGCTTTCGAAAAACAAATCGTGTTGGAATCGCTGGAAGAAACTCAGGTTATTTTGAAGTAGAGCCGTGTGAGAAGCTCCAACTGTTGCGGTATCAACAGCCTGGAAATTTGGGGCTGTAACGTACGCGAGTTTGAACTTGTAAAGCCTCAAAGTGCTGTAGTTTGCGCAACCTATCCATTCTCGTCTGAACGATCCTTAAGATGGCTCAGTCTAGGGCAAACAAAGCATTTATTTTGGTTCGTATCCTGTCACACGTCATGAACGCGCGCAGAGACTTGGCTCCCTTGCCAGGCATGTGGCCGGGTACTGTCACGCTCAAGCTGATCGACTTTGCCACCTGCAAGTCGGAGCGGTGCGTGGTTAAAGCTGACGGTTGCCTGGCTGTAGTGGCAGTGCCATGCTGCACCTGCAGCTGCATGATGCTTGGGTCCTCCTGAGGCTTCTATGTCATGTCAGGCCCGGGTCACACTGTAGACGCAAGCACGGGGGGCTTGTGTGTTGATTGACTTGCTTTGTTGTTGCAGGCATTAGCTTTCTCTACGGCCTCGCATGGTATGTGCTGGCTGCTGGGCACGCTCGGCGAGTACAACAAGTCAAGCTGAGTGACTGGAAGGTTTGACCACCTCACGAGTGAAGAAAACGTGCACCTGACTTTGCACCTGTGGGCATTGGGCTAAATTCACTCGGCACGTTCTGGCACTGTTCTTCGGCAAGGCCGGGGCCGAAGCGAGGCTGGGAACTGATGCGCAACCTGCTCAAGCAGGTGTGTTCACGCATGCGTATTTTGAGGCTTGGATGAAGCTTTTGGCTGCAAGGGGGAGGCCGCTCTTGTAGATGTTTCCTCTCGAATTCTGTCAAGAGCGTGCGCATGTGTGGTTTGTTCTTCAAGCCGCGCATTGCGCAGCTTGCCTAAGCGCTATTGCCACAACCTTATCCGCTCTCGCAGATCGTGGCCGCGGATGGGAACCTCACGACGGCCGTGTCAAGCCACCGTCTCAGTCAGAGGTCTCCATCAGTCAACACATGATTCTGCATGTGATTGTTGAAAAGCTGGCCATCCAACTTAATCAGCTCTGCGACTCGGCCGTGTGCAGGCCTGAAAAGAGCGAAGCCAGACCAACAAGTCGCTGTTTTGACCTTAGCATGTCGCGCATGCTATTTGCACGCTCATGGCAATCTTTTCCTACAACCCCTGTCATCGCTGAAGGTGCAGGGACGAATTCGCACCGAAATAGTTGCCATCGACGAGTTCCGACCGGCGGCGGTGGCAGGACGTGGACTTGGAGGGAATGCTATTCTGATGCATCATGTCATAGGAAGCGTTTGCCAGCGTAGACAGAAGCGATGTGAGGCCGGCCGCAGCGAGCTCGACTTCCCGCGGGGGCCATGCAGTTTGCATGTTTGCATGGCTTCCACATCTCCATGGAACGGATCGCGCGATCTAATTGTTCTGAGGTGCTGCGTTCGTGGTGTAACGAGCGTGTGGTGTACGAAAGATTGCCTGGATCAAGCTTACCTACGGTCAGTGCGTAGGAGCCTTTACTTGTGGCAGGTTGTTCCTTAACCGCTCAGATTTGACAGTGGCAAGCTTGACCAGGTGTGAGTTCGTCCAGGCTCCAATCCAAACCGGTGTGAAGGCGAGCACGGATAGCTGGCTTTGGAGTCCCAAGATCAGCCAGCTGCACCCACTTTACCCCTGGTTTTTGTTGCAGGGTTGCCGGCGTTTGCCTTGGACGCGGGACACTACGTTAATTTGATGTAGGAGATGCCCTAGCATGCCCATCAGAGCTATCATGCAGTCAAACTTGTTCTCAAAAGCTGCAGACAGGGCTATGCTTAGCGTGAATCGGAAAGAGGCTATGAAACATGGCACTCGCCGAGGGAGCTGACTGCATGTGTGCCGCTGTGCCAGCTTTGACAGTTCCCCATTGTTGTCAGCAGAAGTGGAATTGGACAGAAGCTACCTACTCGAGAAAGGTGCATCTAAAGAGACAGTCCTGGCTGCAAGTCTGGAAGACTGGGGCATTCGCATCTGCCGTGGCATCACGATTTCTGTGCAGTGCTCGCGCCCGAAGACCAAGACAGCAAGCGCTCGTGACGTGTCGAAGTTCGTTTCAGTCACAGCTGCAAGCCTTGCTTGCAGAGAGTCCTTGGCGCCGGGGTCTCGAGCCCGCCGAAGAGACCCAGCCAACAAGGCTCACTTTTCTGGGCACTTTGCCCAAGGATCTTCTTGGGACGATATATAGAAACGGCCCAGGGCGAATACGTGTTGGTGACTCTCAGTACGGTCACTGGTTTGATGGTGATGGCTTCGTCACCGCCCTTGCTTTGGATGGCAGCCAGCAGGAGGCTGCTTTCACCTCGCGGTTTATCAGAACACAAAGGTTCGAAGTGCAGCAGAAGCCAGATGCCCTGTTCAAAACAAAGGCAGGCTCTGGAATGGCTTTGATGGGTGCATGGACACCTGCTGCGAATGGTGACTTGCTGGCCAACATCTTCAGATTACCTACGAACCCAGCGAACACAAACATTCTGCAGTGGGACGACCGTCTCCTAGCACTCTGTGAAGGAGGCCTTCCGTACGCCTTGGACCCAGGGACCTTGGAGACAATGGGCCCGGAGCTTTTTCGTGACCCGTCCCTCTCGCAAAGTGGCGTGCAGTTCTTCTCTGCCCATCCAAAGAGAGACCCAGAATCCGGAGATCTTTTCAACGTCGGGCTGAAAATCGGACTTCAGCCAGCTCTGGAAGTGTACAAGTGTTCAGCAGACCGTGTGCTTGAGATGAGAACTGATATCCACTTGGCAGATCTGGCTTTTGTCCACGACTTTGCGATAACGCGTAAGCACGTTGTTTTGATCATTCCTCCCTGGTGTTGTTCAACAACTGGTCTTGCGAAGAGTCTGTGGCAAGGAGCCCTGGGGCGATTCTTTGAGTGGAAGGATTCTGTGGGAACTAGGCTGATTGTGCTGCAGCGCAGTGACTTGTCTGTGGTATCCTGGATGAAAAGTCAGATGGTCAAAGCTGTGCCAAGCGGCGATCATGCCGCATGATCCAACGATCCCACCTGGATAGCCCAAGGTTTTTGACCAGACGCTGATGCCGGCTATCTCTCTATATCACACAGTCGGTCGCCTGAACTCTTTCAGACTTCAAGGCACGCGAATAAACACAAGAAACCATGCAGTTTGCAGGTCAATGCCTATGATGATGATACGACTCCGGCAATATGGCTTCAGGCAGTCTCGCTGCTCTCATGCGCGTTGTGCACTGGAGGGTCATGTCAAGACGCTTGTCAGATCGCTGCCCACAATGGACCTCGGGAGGATGTGGAAAGAAACTTCTCAGAAACTCGCGTTCTAAACCACGAAGACATTTTTTCGGCGCTGCCGAATTTGCTTTTGGATGAGTGCAGCTCACAAGACCAGTACCAGTAAGACAAGGTAACGAACGTTGTCTTCGCAGTGCTGAAGCATTAGCGTCGTAGTAACACCTCGACGACATGACACAAGTCTTGTATAATCCAAGGACATGTATCGAAGTACCTGGTCAGATGCGACGCGGTGTTCTTTGCAACAGCTGCGGTTGGATTTGCTATCCGGAACTATTGAGACCAGCCAGAGCCTAGACCTTTTGTCACCAAGCTGTGCCAGTTGCTGCAAGTTGCGACACTGGGCCCGCAGCCCAACTGAGGCAAGCTGGGCCCACAGGCTGCATCGACCTTCGAGCTTCCCAGCATCCATCCAGGTTTTGTTGGCCGCACCTTGGCTTGAAGCAGGTTTGGTTCTGGATATCTCTCACATCGCTCGTTTGAGGCCAGAACAGGCACGTCTTCACCAACGCAGCCTATCCATCTGACGCCGTCGCCGACTTTGAACCATCAACGAACAATCGCAATCAAAGCCCGATGGTTCGTCTCAGGCATTCCTCAACTGCGTGGAGCGTCTGGATTTGGATGGCAACGTCTTGGATCGGGCCCATTTCGGCAGTGGCCAGTTCGCAGGGGAGCCGAATCCAAGCTTGAATTTTAAGAATCCAGTCAGGACTATGACGCCTCTTTCGCACTGTTAGATTGACAAATTCGTGTAAGAGGGTCGCTGTAGATTAGACTATTTGCATAGTGTCTGCTGTTTGTGCCAACTGGACTGCACTGTCTGTAGACAACAAGCTAGGCATCCTACAATGTTGCTGCCAGTTGGAAGCTCGTCACTCTTCTGCGTGGCAGTCGTGACGCACATGACGTGCATGTGCCAAACTTTGCAGGCTTGATTCGATGGTGTAGGGGACAATTTATGGGTCATGCAATGTACTCGACTGGTTGAGCGAGCGCCCGCCCTTATTGCAGGAAATAGGGAAACCTGCAGCGGATTGACGGCTTGATTTTCACAAGCGTGAACAGCAGGACGTCTTCCACTGATATTGTCCCCAAGGCATCAATTTCCTCGCAGCCTTTGTTGGATGCCATGGAGTGGAGTTTTGTTTTCATTCAAGCTGTGTCATCCCTAAGACTGATGGCCAGCGGGGGCCCTTCAGTTCGATTTGTTTGTGCTGCTCTTGCTGCTGCGTCTCGATGTGAAGAATTTGGTGTTGGGCGTGCGGCTGCCAAGATTGTAGCTGTAGAGGGCTCTGCACAGCAAACAGCTCCGCAACTGAAGCTGTTGCTCTCAAGATTTTGGGAGGCTTCAATGAGTCTGAAAGACTTTGCACTGGCCGTTGATGTCACAAAAGTCATAAGACGCGCGCTGCTTTCGTACCCTTGGCTAGTTTGTCGAGCCACTGGCCTTCGCAAAAGCAAATTTGCATTTTCTCGGCTGCAAGAGCGTCGACTGGCAATAATGCTGCTGTTTGGGGCTGCATGAATGCCGATCTCAGCACGTTCACATCACACATCACGCTCAGAAAGATCAATGGCCTCCTGTCAAGGGACTGGGGCCTTGTTAGGCAGTTCGGGCCGGACACCTTGTTGCAATTGTTTGGAAACCGAAGGGCTGCTGGTCCTGGGAAATTGCAGCTTCAGTCTCAATTTGTAAGCAGGCAGCATCTTGTGAGCAAACCTCGCAGCACTTGAAAGGCTGCAATTGCGCTACGTAGTTGCTCGTACGGGAAAGTAAAATTCAGGCGCGAGATGGTTCTGATAGTGTTCTGATAGTTCGACCGGCCAAGGATGCTCCTTCCAAAGCTGACTGCTTCGCAGGAGTTAGATGCGTGGCTTGATGAACATTAAGCAGAGTTGCGGAGACTCTGCAATGGTGTGAATCTGCATCTGTCTCGCTAAGGTACGTCTGCACTTATGTCTACGACTCTGATACGCATACCTCGTCGAGACCTCAGTCGGCACTGTGCCCTGTTCCATAGTTGATGCGGACGCTTGCATGGAAGATCAGCCAGTAAGTGAATATGCTACTGGTGAGAGGATGCTGAATAGAAGAGGTCATGTTTATCGAGCACATACAGGTAACTTGATCGTTTGCCTTCGCGATTTTCCTTTTCGATGCTCTCGCTCTCCCGCTCTCTCTCTATCGGATTTTTCAATGTCGGTTGCTCAGGTTCCTAGCCATCCTTGACGCTGCTCGGCTTTCAGCTGGCCCGCTAGCAGAGGCCAGAGTGCCACAATCCGCTTCTTGCAGACACTTAAGCCTCACGGAGATTAGCTGCTAAACGTAAAAATGGTAGCAAGAGAGAGATAGCAAGAGCTGTTTGAAGCGATACAGCGCTGTTTCTTGGAGGTGCAGCTGCCAAGCCATGTTCCTTATTCTTTCCATGGAGAATGGGTGCCTGGTTACCTGGCCGAGTTGTGCGCGACTTTGTAGGTGTCTGATGCTCAAAGTCTTGTTAGAACATAAAGTGCAGTCAGGTAGGATTGACGTTCTTCGGCTTGCATCATCCCAATGGCCTGAAGCATGATGGCCGTCTCTTACGCTATAAGCAGCTGTCTGGCGGGAAAGACGACCTCCAGAATCACGAACTGGCCATCATGAGCTTTGCGCCAAATGCTTCTTGCTGCAGCCGAGCATCATGGTGGGCTGCTCTGAGCGCAGGGCGTGCAACATTCGGCCTGACGTTGTGCAGCAAAAAACAGATTGGAGCTAGGTGCCGCATGTAGTTTGCTTGCTTCAGTTGGTGCTGCTGCAGGTTATGCAGGAGAAGGCATCTCCTTCTCGCTCCACTGTAGGCGGGTCAAACAGTAACCTGCAAAGAGCTAGCTCATCACTGTCTTTTCTTGTCATGGGTCTTTGGGCACGGATGATTTTTACGCTGATGAGGAAGACAAGTGAAGGTCTCCAGCTCAGGGAAGTGCTGGCTGCCGTGCCGGCAACAAGGGATCTGGAATGCTGCAGCAGATTCACACATTTATTTGCAACCTTAGAATCTAGAAGTTTCATGATGAGGCTGAACGGCGTCAAGATTTGCAAAGGAACTCAAGGCTGGTGATGCGTCTTGTTCTGGGAAGCCGGAAGATTTTGCATCGCAAGAGATAGCCGTGTCGCGCAATCGCCCCCTTTGTAGGTTGGGGTTGGCCAGCGAAGGCCAAGGATGCCAAGGCCAGAAGGTGAATCTTTCCGAAAGAGCGCATTTTATCCATATCAAGGCCCCGCAGAATCAGAGGAGGAAACCTCGGGGTCGGGGCCTTGGATTGCTTCTGGGCAAACGACATGAGCCCACATGGCATCAAGGCTTGAATATAAAGCTGTTGTGCACCTTTGCGGTTGAGCTCTTGCATCTAGATAGCAGTTTTTGTGATTCTAATTCCTGGGCTATACAAGGGTCGTGGCAACGGCAACTCCATCTTCAAGGTATTACGTAAGTACAAGGCTGCTTTCAGGGAGGCCGCTGGGCGAGCTGAATTAGCTAGTTTCGTGAGGGTACCCTGAAGAGGTCTCTTAATAAAGCGGCACCATGCTACAAGACGTGAGAGAACTTTGAGCAGAAGGGAGATGAGATCTTAAGATGCATGAAGAAGGTTCTCTCCACGCCAGGAGCAGCCTGGAGTAGTTAGTCATTCAGCAACTATTTTGGAAGCAGGCGAAATTCTACAGCGAATGCTAGCTGGCCTGAGCCAGCTTGAAAAGTTCCAACCTCGACCTCTGAGATCCAGAATGTCATTGTTGAGTGTGAACGTCAGTGAACTGAACTGCTTTGTTGGAGGAGTAGGAAGAGGCCAGACTGGACGCATGCCAGCCACTTGCATTAGACACAGGTCACAGGATGTTCCCTGTGTTTTCTAGAGAGCACACATTTGAGAAGAACTGCGCGGGCTGTGGTAGCACAGCGGCTCAGTCTGTTCTGCAGGTTTTGGAGAGTCGTGCGCGGTAGGAGTTTTATTGTGGCTCCCAAGCTCGTCCTCAAGTCATCAAATAAGCATTTTCTGCAAAGGATCTTCACAGCATCTGCCGAGAAGGACACAAATGGAATTGAAAGTTGTTGCATTGTCGCATTTGCAAGGCTTCCCCATCGTGACATGGCACCGTCACGGTCTCTGCTCCGCCGTGCATATGCGGCAAAGGACCAAGCTACTAAAGTTGCAGGCATTTGGGACGGGAGTCTGAGGAGGTGGAACATCCTTGTGAGTTGATCTGGAACAGCAAGAATGCATGCGGATGTCAACAGGGACACGCCGTCGGCATTTCCGACGTTGTTGTAGGGCAACACAGTGAAGCAGCGCAGCTGACAAACGGAGGCCTCCTTCAAAGGCAGAGATGTACCGCAGCTTGTGCATTATCATGAAACATAGGCCCAGGCCCAGGCACCTCTCCGGGGTACCATCAGCCATTAGTGCGTTCGCCTACAGTCGCTCGCAGAACTGCGTCCAAGACCGTTACAGTTTCCAATTGCCCGCATCATCAAGCTTCCGCATACCAAAGCTAAGTCCACCTCTTCCTAGCTTGGTTGGATTCGGCATGTCAGCAGCGGTTGGTCATTCGAGTGTCTTGCGTGTAGGATTCAAAGCGCAAGCCGGGCAAGGCGGGCAAGACGCGAAGGGCAACAAGAGTTGTTGCACTTTGTGGCAGCAGGGGATACCAAACTGTTTGTGGGATTGATACGCGGCATCTGCTGCATAAAGCTGTGCTCACCTGGCTTGTCACATGAGGCAGTTTTTGTCCAGGACGAGCCAGGAGCCTGGCGCGTGCTATGAACAGGCTCAGGAGCCACTTGGAGCCACTTCGGACGTTTGTGCGAGGCCAAGACGAGAAATTCAGATCGAAAGCTTCAAGCACTTCAGAAGTGAACTTTGGGTGGAAGACGTGGGTGCCTTGATTTCTTGAGATACTTATACTTATGCGGCAGGCGCTTGAACTTGTGCAGGAGTTTGTCACTTCGTGTGGATGTTGTGGCCAGCCAGCTCGGATGGGTGCTTCCCCTGGTACTGTTTCCTCTGAGATACGCTGGATAAGCTGGATATTCTGCATGCCTTCTCAAAAACTCATCGACCAGGGGTTGACGGCTTCTACCTTCCCGGAACAAGCCGCAGCCAGTTTACTCACACCGAGGCCGACCCAGCTTCGGTTATGCAATCATGAAGTCGTGCCCTGTAGGTGATGTGCAAATCGTGCTTCCTCACTCAGAAGTTTGAGGAAGTTGGGGCTTGGCTTCTGGTCAAGTGTGCAGTTCTGATCTCAGGATTCATCTCAGCAGGTTTCCTCTTGAGATGTTTGATTTCCATGGTGGATGGGTAGTGGAGAAGGAAACAACTTGCCTCGCTCAGGCCCAAGACTCTGACAGTGACCGTAATCTGGCAGCAGGTCCTGGGCTCAGGCCATGACGAAGACGTTGCACACTTCTTCATCACAGGCAACATCTGCCGGGTGTGATCAGAATGGGTAATGTAGCAATAAATGTATATTAATGTAGGGCCGCTGTTTCTCGGGTTGCGCTTCCGAATCTTTAAGGCCCTCTTCTTGAAGCTGTTGATGCACTCATGGGGATGGGCCCGGTGCTTAATGTGGCCTAATTTCCCCACCCGAGCTCTAATATCCTGAGGGCCAGGAACTCCTGGGCAGAGGACAGACAGGCTCACTCACTTCTTTGGCAAAGAGGTGCTGCGCCGCCTTGAATTAATGATTCAGTGAGCATGAAAACCAATCGAAAAGATGCAACATGGTGTGCACGAGAAGGTGCAGGACGAAGAGTCGTGGCGCCAGGTGTTGACGAAGGCACTGGTATTCTGTGCTTTAGCATTCAAAGGGGCAGACTGAGCTGGGGGAAGGGGATCCTTCGCTTTGACGCAAGTCTTTCCTATGAGACGAGTTCAATCGTTTGGTGAGGCTGCCGGCACCATGATGGAGCTGTTCCAGACAGGTCAATATCATGGTGTTTGTGTCTGGATGTTTTGGTCTGTGGAAGCGTGAAAGCTCCAGACTTTCTCTCACCTCTGCCTGCGTAAGAGCGGAGAGCCAGGGACATGTCTGCAAGATCTAAAAGTTGCCGATTCTTTCCCGAGTCACCTGCTCTTCAGCAGGAGCCTCTGTGCTGGAGCATTCCAGCCATGCCAAAATCGAAAGAACATGGTTGTGCCCAGGTTCGCCAGCAAAGACGGATGCCGAGGCTCATCGTGATTCGCAGACACGCATGAGCAGGCCTTACCTTCACTGTAGGCCTGCGAGACAAGCGCCAAGGAGCTCCTCTCCTAGGTTTGCGAATTTCTGCACGAGCGTGTGGCCAGCCACCCTGATTTGGAGCTGGCACCGGAATGTGGCGCGGAAGACAGGCGTCCAGGAATTCGAATCGAGCAGTCTGCAGAAGCTACCTGCTCTCCAGTGGGTCGGGCAAACGTACGAAGCGATTCAACACGATTCAATAGCAGGAGTCAGCATAGATGTGTGTTCAGCGTTTGCCAGCCCACTCATTATGCTCGTAAAGCACATGGACAACTCCAGCAGGCCTTCACACAGCATGGCTTTTGCTGGTTCCAATTCTGCATCCTTAGCTTATCTGAGGAACCTCGAGTTCCAGTCTCAGAGAAATCAGCAGCTGCTTCCAATTTCTGCTCGCCGGGGAAGCATTGTGTTATGGCATTTGTGCTCGATCAATTTGCTGTTGATACTATAGTAATGCCATAGTACTTGCTTGCCACCTGTTTGTCCAGTGCTGATCCTCCAGCGCATTGCTGGACCCGTCCGGGCATATGTATGGAGCTTGAGGGCGCAAGCTCTTGGATGCTAACGGCCACGATGCCTGACAGGCTCGTGGTTGGTCCTTTGACTGGCGAGCCTAGAAACATCATACTGGGTGATGCATGTGACTCTTCTCGAACGCCTATTCATGGTTTATCTCTAGATGTCAATCAACTGCATGCACTGGACGCCCGCCTGGCTCACAGACAGCACTCCGAAGGAAAGCGAGCTGCAAGGTGCAGGGCTTCAGGGCTAGTGCTAACCAGGGCAAGTCTCTTGCAACGCGCTACACAAGTCAGTGCAACCTCCCTGCCATGATGCCTCCGAGCCCATCACGGGGATCGCCTGTGAGGAGCGATCTAGACTCTGACCTTGGGTCCAGCTTATGCCCGGGACAGGCAGAAGTAGCAAGCGTTCTTTTTGTTGCAAGGCTTAATCTGCTGGATGACCCGGAAGTGCAGCCAAGCTGCAACAAGCACCGTCGTTGAATGGAGGGTTGCGCAGGGAGAGCTGGATTAAGGCGTCCGCGCCTGGCCTCTTTAATGAATCGCGAGGCGCTGACTGCAAGGAGTCCGAGTGGACATGAAATTTCGAAGTAATCTTCAGTTGTTGAGTTTGATGTTATGAACGGGCTGTACAAATCGTCCTTGCATGGGATTGTCGCCTGCGAGGACTCGACGAGGATCTGTGACGGACCGGTGACTTGACATGTTGAGAACTTCAATGGCACCAGGTTCACTTCTGCAGTCAGCGTCTGCAGGTCACCCCCGCGTCGTGCGGCTTTCCGACGGTTGACAAGGAGGTTAGAAGAGGTGCTGTGACTGCAGAGACAGACCGCAGCTGTGCCAGGAACTCGCAATTTCCAGGTCCTGCCTGTCCCCCAGGCTTCAGTGTCAGTGGCATCTCTGAGAAAAGTACCGCTGAGGGTGCCCTTAGCCTGGGTCCTCGTCACACACGCGTTAACGACATCCTCGCAACTTTTGGCGAGGTCCAGCATCAGCTGAATGCTAGTATCTGAGTTGACTTCATCTCGACCGTTCCACAGGAAGAGAACATCACATCACGTCGTCCATCATCTCTGCCCGGTGGTTTGGACAGCCAAGGAGGCAAACACAGCACTAACTTTGCGTGTTGTCCTCGCTTCTTCCAAACCAGGAGCTGGTCTCGGTTACCTCCAGGACTCAAGCTGGTAGTAGAACATAGGGGAACCTTGCAACCTTCACGCCCTTTTGAAGGACCGCTGGAAGGATTTGGAATCCGCAATGCAGTGGCAGCCTTGTTCAATATCAGGTCTAAAGCAAGGGTCGTTCGCCCACGAGCGCATGCTGAGGCCTCAGCTCCGGAATCGAGCGCTGACAGAGGAGGGATTGTATCATTGCATCTTTTGTCAAGTGCCGGTGCGTAGCGTGTGGTCAGAAATGGCCAGAACAGTCTGACGAGAGACTGAGTGGAGCTTTTGTCCTCAGGCAGGTCAACACGACATTTCTCTCTTGATTGATGGCCAGGGCCGATATTTGCCCAGGGTTCAGGTTCAGTTCCGTTTCTGGAGCTTCCTGTTGAGCTAACAGAGCTCACAGTGCAGCACTGTGCAGCACTGTTGTCCCTCAACTATTGATGCATGAGGCCTGACCTCAACTTTGTTCAATTACTTGCACCCTTGGCCTACAGCGCTTGTGAATGCCATTGGCACATTGCTGCCACGCCATGATGCTACCATTTTGCAACTGTGCCCTAAGCCCGGGCTTGAACTTGGGCTACGCGGCTACGTTCACTGAAGCTGTCATGTGCTGATGCAGGACCTGCGCAGAGATCTTGTCAGCCTCGAAGGCCAGGATCTAAATGCTTTCGTCAAGGAAGGATTCATCACAGAGGACCGTCAGCTGTTCGTGCAAAATAGTGTACTGCCGAACCAGCAGCAGGACTTCTCTCGACTAGTGTACGATAAGTTCAAGAACGATGCTGAGCGTGAACCTCAAGAGTCTGGAGATCGATTGAACAAAAGGCGGATTTGCACCATCGTGAGCTTGCCTTAAATGTTCTGGCTTTGAGGCCAGAGTTTCTGCATGACCTTCAGTTGGAGGTGTCCCTCCTTTGGTCAGCATGTGTCAGTTCTTGCTTCTCACCGATGCCTCAGCGTTCAATTACAGCCTATTTGCAAATCCAGTCTCTGCAATTTCCAGAGCTCAATCCGTGCCAGAAATGTGGTGGCCTGAGCGCTTTGAGCGAGCTGGATTCACCACCGCTGGCGTCCAAGTATCGGAATGGAAAGCCCGGGGGAACATGTTGAATGAACGCTAGCAGCTCACATCATCTTGTGTCAACCTGAGGAAATACTTTTGGTTTTTCGTTCTCGTTGTCTCCGTAATATTCAACGTTTGGTACCTCATACATTTGGACTGGCTGCTGGCTCAGAAAGTTTATCAGATGAATCCCAAGACATCCGATGACACAGGGATTTAAGCGTTTCGTGGCCTGAGGCAAATCTTTACCACCTACATCATTGAAGTGTTCCAAACGTGGGACCTGCACGGCATTATAGGTTGGCTGGAGTGATATTCATGTGATTCACGTTGTCAGCTGCTGCTGTGTCCTTTCACACTCGCTGCACAGCTCGCCTTTCCAATGGCGGCGGCAGCCAGTCCAAACAAGACATTCAGGCAGGGAGCAGGAAGCACATCCGGCCATCCGGCTTTGCTTGGCTGGTACGGAAGGCCGAACTATTTGATGACCCCATGTTCAAGGCTGAGCCTGAGTGTTTATCAAGTAGCCCCTTTGTGCAGCTTCCTAGCCAAGAACTGCGCAGCGTTTAAATCAAGCGTGCGCGTGCCAGGGCAGCATTTTCGGAATGATTTCTGATCACGAGTGGGGTCCTTGGGCATGTGTTGTTTCAGTTGCGTTCTTCGGCGACCCAACTTGACCTTATCATGCTGCTGGAGAGCGGCCTGCAGTCGAGCTTGCGTGAGCTTGCCAGTAATTTGCATGATGCGCAGCTGGCGCTTCAACAGAGTGCCCAGTGTTTGCTGAGGACACGCTTGACGATAGTAACTGCTGCTGTCATGGTCGCTATTTGGGAGGCACCGGCACCCTTTGAGAGAATGATTTCCACCAGGCGAGTTCTCAAACGGTGCAGTCTCTTTGAGCATGCAGGTCGGTTGGCTGATGACGCAACTGGTCAGAAGCCTATCCTGGAGCTCGGTTTGACCAGCTGCTGCTGCGTTGTCATTGCAAGGTCTGGGTAGTCTACATTCTTTACATGGCCTGCTGTGAGCAGTCGGAGTGCCCACAGCTGGGGTAAAGGGAAAAGCTGACAGGGAAGCAGTCTGGTGCTGAAAGGTACAAGCGCTACAATGCCATCGGCTACTTTTTTCAAACGCTGCTGCCGCAGGCTAGGTTCAGATTGCATTTAGTCGATATGCGGCCCAGCCACGCCAGCTTTTGGGCTGCTTTTGAAGGGTTTGGCTGCTCTGGCAGAGTCCTTCCCTGGATGTCAGGCCAGCACGTTCTCTGCTGTTAAGCTGATGGCACGAGTCGGAGCCCGATAAGCTTGGAACACCTTGCAATGTTTGGATGATGTGCATTGCTAACGTGGTCCTGTTATTGTGGACTTCATGACGCGCAAGGTTTTTTGGAGATTGTGAAACATTGTGACACTTATCGAGATCTTGGTATTACAGACACCGGTTCTGGATGCGAATGGTGAGCATTTGTTCAAAAAGGCATTGATTCCTAGTGGTCCTAGTGGTCCTAGTGCTTCTTTTACTCATGAAGGCTTACGTGCACACAGGAGACATCGAAGAAACGCGTGGGAGTACTATGAAGGCTCCAAGAACTCTGCAGATGTGGGGCTCGTCCTGCAGAGAAGGAGGAGGAAGAGAAAGAGGGGGCTCCCCTGCAAGGGGGGGGCATAGCCCGAAGAAGAAGAAGGGGGGCAAGCACAGGTGCAGCATTTGGGGATAAAAGGGCAGATCTTCGCGGAAGAGCGTCCTTATCTTTTGTTGGAGGACTGTCATTTGTCAACGCTCATGCAGGCACTGGTTCTGGTCTTCAACCCAAGGAATGCTACTTCAGGAAAAAGCCAGGCATGTATGCCGTATGCCAATGTTTCACTTCGCGATGGCGGCACAACATCCAGCGTCATTTTTACTGGCGCTCCACAAGAACGCAATATGCAAAATATCGTAAACCCTGGGAAAGCGTGGGGGTCGACAGTTTTTGGAGATGTTCAAATGATTAGATCATTCAGTTCACAGCCTTGCCTCAGTTTCGGCATGGGCTCGAGACGAACGGACGGAGCTATGTGAATATGCTTTCGTTTTTGTTCGTCGGTAACTTGTGTGATATGTCCTTGACACAAGACTCGTAAGGTGAGGAAAGCCAGGCCTTGAATTTCCGTGAGGTGAAGCCATTTCAGCTCTTCAAGGTTTGCACAGCAGCCCAGCCTGCGGTGGAAAGGCTTGGCAATAAATTCCAAGAGCACTGGGACTCGAAAATATCAGGAAACTCAGCCACAACAAGTTATTCAAATCGAGGAGCTGCACCGACACGCAGGAAAGTCACATGACGAGACCATAGTTCCACGGCACAAGGAGGATGTAAGTGCTTCCAGCATGAAGTGCTGAGGTGCACCCTTCGCTGATCATGAACGAGTACCAAGATTGGGTGACTTCGTGAGACTCCCAGCTTCGTCAAGTGGAGCTCACTTGTATCACCATGTTGCAGCGTGTTGCAGCTGACAGGCTTTCTGAGCGAGGACTGATGTTGGTGGCTCAGGAGGATGTGTCGCCCTGGGCTAGACACTGAAACCGCAAATCGAGGTGCGGTCATAGAAGGAATACAATTGGCTACGTGATGCTGACCACTTCGCAAACTTCTTGGATTTTCCCAGGGCGGACAGCTGAATTGCCACAGCCTGTTTTCCAGAGCCTTCAAGAAGGTTTATCGTCTTCCACGCCTTCTGTGCCACAGCAGCTGTCAGCGCATTCTCCGTCAAGATGTTGGTGCTTGGCGTTGTTATTTGAAACGTGGTAGGGAAAGCACCTTTGAATTGGCCAGGCAGTAAGTTTCAAAGTCGTCAACCCCGATATCTCCTGGCGCGGCACTTATCTGAAATACGAACCTGTTGTGCAGGGAGTTGTCTGAGTCACGCCGTGACTTTTTTCGTGAACAGCATAGCGACAGAACTGTGCTGCCCATGGCTGTCAACCTGGCATGCAAAGCGACCTGTACCTGTTTGAAGCTTAACGCCTCGCAATTGTGGACTGTATGGAGTGTGCGTGCTAAAGGTGGTACCGCCTGTTCAGCATCCTTGCCCGGGCCCATCAGAATGACATGGTGTGGGCATGCATGATGCACCACATGTTTGTGTAGCAGCTGGAATTGTTCCAGGCCACCCTGAACCAAGTCATGGGGGCTGTCTATATTGATCGTCTGCTGCAGGCTAGCGATGCGGCAGATGCAAGTTGCCTCAAAATAGCAATTGTAATTGAAAGTTGGCAGCACCGGGAGGATCGCGTGTTCCTTTTCGTCTTCGGTGGTCGAGATTCCACATATGAGGATGATGAGCTGGCGTACAAAAATGCCGTGCTGCCAGGATTTAGCTGCAACAGGCTGATGATTTAGCTTTGATTGAAGCGTTCAAACGACACCTATCAGATAACCTGATAGTAAAGCGTAGGTGAAGCAACCATCTGTTCGATAGGAGCGATGCTGACAATGTGTGCCGCATTCCAAACCAGACAAGGTCAAGCTTGTGGAAGTTTGTAGGATAGAACATTTATGTGGAAGTAA